CAAATTTTAATATTTTAAAATTAATACAATAATTATTAGCTGTATTGAAGATACACGTACCTAAATAAAAAACTTATTAGAACTGTACAATGAGTTTTCAAATTACTTTCTAGAGAAGTGTTCGTGGCAATATTCAAACAGGAAGTACATAGGTACATTAACTTAGATTAACAATCTGATAAAAAAAGTGAATTAAAAACGTTTTGTTCTTGTAATCCCACTTTTGGCAGCGAACTTGCTTGCATCCACCATGCTCCAATTAAAATATAATAACTGAATACATATTTTTTGTTTCTTGGAAGTAATTTTGACGCTTGGTAAACTTTATTCTGTAAGAGGAAAGTGTTATCGCTATTATTATTTAAATAAATCGTTATTACCACGTCAGTGGGCAAATTTTACATTAATGAATTTCATTAGGTTAATCTTCTTTCATTTGCCGATTCCGTGAATAAAAAGTTTACAGTGAATGTTGATGATCGTACGATGGAGGTTAAAAATGATATTTCTTCTTTTATTATGTGACTGATTTTTCTGTCATGCAGTTCTTGTATCAGTCATGCGTGTTTATAGAGTTAGAGTACTGTTTAAATTTTTGTTATGAAGGTGTTGTAGCCCCAAAATATAGTGTTTTTTTGACTTAGTTGCAGTTTAACTTTTATAGAATTTGAAAAATCCAGCACAGCGGGGTATCACAAATTCGCTTGCCTGAGAAGACGGTAGAAGTGGGGCCCTTTGCGTATTTCCTTGACGGTGGCACGTGCCGGGGTCTGCAGCTGTCGAGTTTTATGAAGGATCCGCTGTAAAATACTTAAAAAATCAAAGCCCTAAACGCACTATGTTTTGGAGGCCAGTATATATGAATATAGTCACCTCTCTATCACAAAAATAACAATATAATTCAAGGGAAAAACTTATTTACTTCATAAATAATAATATTTTTAAATTGTAGGATATTTTTTCTAGCACCTTTGAATGCTTCAACCGACAAATTACATTAACACTTGTCGAAAACTCACATAAATTAGAAATACCTACGATATATATAGAATAATGATAAAATAACGAAATTTTTAATGTTTTGGAGCTAAAGATTATTATTAACACATTTAGTATTTTTTATGAGAACTGTTACTTTTAGAACCAAGTTTCATTCTGTAACATCGTTTAAAGTAACATGTAAAAGAACATATTCGAAGTAGTTATTACACCCACAGTACTTTGTAGTTTCAGGAAATATGTATGGATCCAGTAAATCACGTAATGTGTCGTATGTGAGTGCTGTTACTGTGTTTGAACTACAACATAACTATAAGCCAAACAACGGATTGTCTGTAATATTATTTGATTGACTATGTATATAGATATAGGTACATATACAGTGTTACACCGGCCGACTCCAAAAGTTCGTTAATTTAAAAAATCATAAAGCAAACTTTTCGGAATACCTACATTTTTATTAAAAATCAAAAATGTTGTTATCTTTAGGGCCAGGTCTGGGTTATAGATATGACCTTAAGTAAAAGTGTTTGTTTAGTATAAAATTCTCATACTCATTACCTTCTTTGGTTAAGATTAGGAACAATTTTATCGCTCCATTATACAATGCGGTAGGCACCCCATATTGATTTCATGTAACTAGGCAGGAATTAAGTATAGGAAGATTATTGAATATATGTCATAGTTATAAGTAAACAAGATCTTACTCTCTAGCTCTACTTGATGTAACATTGTAAACTTGTTAGACGGATGTCGTAAATCTATTTAAAAAAACGTAAGTACTTTGAAATGGGAATTTTCGATTTGTCAAAAAATTTCTAGGTTGTTTTTAATTCAGGCATTTTAAAAATTGCAAAAGCTGTTCATATTTTAATTTATAAAAAAAATATATTTATTTCTTAGCTGGTAAAGCACGAAATTAGTTTGTGAAAATATTCTATCCTTTTATTTTCTTAGTGTGGTGATAACTAGATCTTTAAATTACATTAAATTTTATTATGAAACTGAAAGTGAGAAAAAGTTTTTTCATATCAGATGTGCTATTAATTTAAACGGTCCTTAAAAAAAGCAGAGAGCAGTGATGGTTGCTACTAAACGATTGTTTATCTAAATGTTTGTCTACCTCTGCCCGTCCGAACTGCACTACATTTCTGATCCGTGACCGAACTGTGGTTCAAAATTTTGTAACTCCCTGATACCTTATAATCTCTAACCGAACTGCACTAAAATTCTCAGTTGGGGGTTAAGATCTTTCGCTTTAATCAGGCACGTAAATGATGGACAAAGTTATTTAATGTTCAAAATTCTATATTGGGAACTCAATAAATATTTATTAGTAAATAACGTGAACATGTTGTATCTGTTTTCAAATTTACTGTCAGTGAATCCATTATATTTATTTTTCGATCCCGTTATGTAGGTACATTAATTAAAAACCACCCGTTGATCACATACATACATATTAGATAATAAATTGTGGTGATACTAATTTTTGGTGTTATTGATGTATTTGCGAAAGATACAATTTCTGAAATCGTTTAATAAAGCTACCATAAGTACTTGAGGTAATAGATTACACTATATATAATATACCTACAATATCTTAAAAGCTAAAATTATGATAGGACACAGTATTTGCATACTGATGGACAATTTTAGATTCCATGAAGATCTGTCTATGTTTTTCTTTTTGTCCGAAATTATTCAACTGCTTTAAAAACAATACCGCAACCCCCAGAAGTTTTCACGTATCTAACTGCATGATAATCATCTGCAACCCTTTGAAAGAATCATTGTGGAAAATTCTTTCTACCATTTATTTATACAGTGCCTACTGACATTTGAATTACATAAGAATGGCACCATACTTGTACTCAAATACTTTTAGATTTTTAGGTTCAATAGAAATTCTGATAAAATTTTGTAACTAATTTTGGCCTCCTGTGTATCTAACTACACGTGAGTATTTTGCTAGAGCGGAAACTGTAATCACTGAGTACAGTAACTACCTTCTAATTTCAATGTGGATAGTTTAACTTACAATTTTGTGATACACTGGCCAAACAACGAAGCTAAATGCAATGACCAGTGATAGATTATTATTTAGAAAATTGTACCACAACTGTTCACAACAAATTGTTCAGTTGTTGAAGCTGTTCGTTATTTTTATTTTCTGTTGAGGCACTGCTGCCAAAGGGTGTACTTCCACATTTTATTATGTTGTTTTGAAGTATGTTTAAGTTTCCCAATATATTCTAGGTACAGTCATTTTGAGTAGTGAAATTCAAATTAGTTTCAGTATTTAGGTACATCGTAGAGCTTCTGATTGCTAATTTGAAATGGGATAAGTTGAGATCATACGCTCCTACAAGAATTCGTAGTTTAAAGTGAGACGGAAAGAATCGTCTTATGATGTAAAGGATCTAGTAGAGAATTTGCCTAAAAATATTTTTCCTTAAAACTAGCCCTCTTTTATACCTGATTATAATTAATAATTTTATCTTACTTCTTTTTGGCTATTTCTTTAAATTTATCATTATTCACGAAAAATATATATCTTTTTGCATGTGAGTAATTTTACTTACCTACTTAGTCTGTTCTATTAAATGGAACGTAAAAGCATGACATGGCACTTCAGATTTACTTTTTTATTCTAAATTGTTAACAGTGCTGGTGGTGTAGGTAGGTAGGTACTGATTGATGTATTTGACAATTGGAGAGAAATATTTAAAATTGGAATTCAAAATGATGACTGACTGTCATCAGTAATAAATTAACCTGTTTATTGTTAAAGATATTTTTCGAAACTATTCAAAGCTTTTGCAGATAAAAAAAATACAATGTAGTTATTTTTTGGAAATGGGAGAAGTGACAAAGTTATTCTCATACCATTATTTTTCGAATGTACAAGAATTAAACCAGCAGTTAATGGGTGACAAAGCGTGTGTGAAGAGATTAATTGTTAATTGTGATTGAAGGGGATGCTTCTTTTTTTATGTTGAGTGGACAAAGGTTTTTTTATATACCTCTTGGGAAAAATAAAACTGCTTTAACTGGCAACAATATAACCAAGCACGATACTCTATTTCAAACATTCTCACAGAGTTACAACAGAATTACAATTTTTTTCTTTAGAAATAATTCGACTCAAAAAGTATGTTTTTCCTGACATTCCCTTTTCTGTTCCCGATTCATTCGCAGAATGGATTTTAAATGATGTCTACAAAAATTTAAAGAAATTTAATTGCTGTAACTTCTGTAAGAAACTGTCCCAAGTTCTTTCGGTCGGACCGCCATCATTGGTAAATTTAGTGCGTATTAATTTTTTACTCCCGAACGAAAACAGTCCGATGAGTTTTTATGAACTTAAAAATAAAATAAAGGTATTGTGAACTAGTAGCGATCATAAAAAGTCACATTTTGCATTTCGAAAGTTTCAAAACCAACCCTTAAAGTTAAGTTTTTTTACCAGCCTATCCGTGGATGCGAAGTAAGTTTTTATGTTATGGAAATCATCTACACAGCACTTTGAACATGAATACGTGAAAAAGGCACGAAAATGCGTTTTGCAAAAATTATTTAAAAGGCACAATATGCGCACTTGATTAGCGAAGTTGGCGATAGCAACCATTTTGCTACAAATTCGTCCTTCCACGCGGCGCGCCTCCGACTTTTACTGTTTCGGAAGGATTTTTCTCCTAGTTCCAACAAAAAAATGTGAACTTTTTTGTAATGGGATTTTCGCAGGACCCAGAAACTTGCTATTTAAGTGAAGAAATTGCCGTTAGGGCCACTTTTGGGGTTGAAAATTAAAGAAATCGGCCGATCCCCACTCGCAAAGTTTGCGAATATCGGTGTGCGCCTGTCTGAATGACGTGTATATCGCGATCTCACTTGCTATCATTTAATTCGTATGCTCAGTGTAATACGACGTTTGTCGGTTGGTTGCTATGCGCGACTCCTTACTAGAAAATAAGTAGTTGCAATAAACTGCTCGTCACATAACCAGTGTTCTTAGTTTGTGCTTTCAGCCCCCACCCAATAAATTATTGCCAATTGGGAAGCAATTGGACGCAAAAAGTTCGAATGTGATATTTGTCCGTAAGTACGATTTTTTGAGTGCCCGTTTTGTTGCGGTCGTCAGTGGTCTTGTAGCGCCCGGATAAGGGATTTTTCGCATTTTTCCTTCAGTCAGTGCAATTTAAAACTCGTCGTCTTACGTATGTGCTGTACGGTTGGTGCATGTTAACTTATCATGGGTAATTACTGGGTTTTTATGCTTAGCACGTTTATGCCTTTTCTTATCGGCCATGTAATTGTTTGAAAACAAATTTTTTTCATTATGAAAAATCAGCGAACATTAAACTTATTTTAAGCTATCGCGAGAGATTTATTGCGTATTTTGCAATTTTTGCATTTATTATCTAACTCGGGTTGCATTAATGTGGGTCACTTTGGATTTTTCGCTGGGTTGAATAAATTGTCGGTGCGACTTTGGTTGGCAATCCCTTGCATGGCCAACGTCGGAAAACATCCGCGAAACTTCCCCGTCCCCAGACAGATCATCACGCACTTTCGCACACATTTCTACCCGGTGACGGTCGTATGGTTTCTCCTGTCTGGGTCAACTCGCCGAATTCGATCACTCCTTCAATTCTTTCAGTTAGAGGTCTAGGAACTGTGGATTATAATTGTAATAGATGTGGGGGACGACTGTCTAGCCAGTTTGAGGCTCCCTTTAGGAGCAGTCAGACTGCCGAATTACAAAGTCATTCGCCAATTTTTTGTTGCTAGCGGTTCACTAAACCATCGGATTCTGTCTGAAAACGGCCGGTCGCTTCATTCATTATTTAACCCAGACAGAACGTTACATAACTCCGAGTATAATGCGTGTTCGACTATGTTGCGTTCTGTTCTTTTAATGGGAGTGCACCGACGACTCAACTCGCCCCAAATCTCAAAAAATCCCTCGCAGATACTCGCTCGAACCGCGCATTCCTAAGAAACATTCTTGAAATTTTATATCTGGATGCTAACCTGTTTTTTTTAACGCCTCGAAGTGGAAGGAGCTTGAGGAAGTGTCGTTAATGGCACAAGCAAAATTGTCCTCTCTCCCCTCTTCTAGCCTGGTTGCTTATCCGCCCAGACTGTGTAGTCTTGATATGCATATTTTTTATTTGTTCGAATTTTTGCAATATTTTCAACTTGACCTGAACTGACCTGACCTAAATATTTTGTTAATGAGCTTTCCTCCCAAAACAGGCCCCATTTTTTAAAGTAATTTCTTGTTGATACAAGCCAATCTAATAAAAGAAGACAAAGAGTAATAGTCTACGGCGTGTTCTAAATTGCCAAATACGAATACCGAACGACGAAAAGACATCGATTGTGTCCTCACTCATTGTCGTACAATTGCTGTCAACATTTTTGGAAGGGAATTCTAAAAATTCTCTGCAGTTTTATCACTTAATCCTCGCTGGGTAACTAGGTGAGATAATGTAGACACGTTTAATAATAAAATGTGAACGCAATTAAACCTCCACGACTTGTAAAGACGTACAAGTAGGTAATCCTCGTTTAATACAGCCTACATTCCAGCCCATCGATTGGACAAATTGATAGTTTATTACCTTTATGGTACACTAATAAGAATAGTACTTAAGTGACTCAGACACAACTATGGTGATCGAGTTCGTTGAACCATTGTGTATGTGCATATTTTTTGTATTTATACATATAATATACTTGTCTGAATATTAGCAAATTTAATGCGATTAAATATTTATCCAACAGTAAATTCTCGACTATAATTATAGTTTAACGGTCTGCTTCATGCAACACACCCTTGAAATTTTTAATTCATTCTTAATTGCGACTTCACATTCACTAAGCATCGTTCGATCAATCGTTTTTTTTTTTGTCATTTTGCTTATAAAGAAAAGTTAATGAAAAAATGAAAAACCGTCTATTCCATCAATTACTCCTAGTTTAATCGAAAATGCAATCCACCAAGGTGTGAAAAATAACCCTAATGAATGCATTTTGAAACGGTAACGACTATTTAGGTTATCGACTCTGTTTGTGTTAAGTTTGTCTGGTGCTGAGGACCTTTAAATTTTAAATGTCTATAGTTTATAAAGCTGTGTTTACTTACTGTACTGACGCAAGTGAGATAGTGGCAATTTTTTTAAACAGACGCATAACAACAAACAGACACAGTAGCATCACCACTGACTGTACTTTCACCCAAGTTGCAAGATCGTCTTTTTTGGATATAGGTTTTATATACATACTTGAACCATAATTGTCTCTAACAGTGAATCCAATTAGTTCCTTCTCGTAAGCCTGGTTGCTTTTATTAATTTCATGTTTAATTTAACTTTTTGATTGGCTAGAATTTTGTGATCGGGCACTACACTATTTACGGTTTAATAATATTTATAAATTAACAAAAATGAATGCTTTTTACTTACAAAAAAATGGTTTTTAATAATTTATATAAAAATCAGACTTACCATAATTCCTATGTTACTTTTAATGTTGAGGTTATTATTAAAAATAAGTTCAGCTACTTATTACTATAATATAACCTTTAGCATGACAAAACGTTATGACAAAAAGACTATTAACATATTGATTTATTTCGAAATATACGGACCAAAAAACCACTAGCCTTCCAGTTACACAATTTCTGTTCTTTGTTAAGTGGGTACTTATGGACTATAAATTTTCGACACAAGTGACGCATTTTTAATTTTTGTGTAATTAATCTATAATTCAGTAAACATAGTATTGTGAAGGTAATGGCGTAAGATTACGTTGCAATTATTTAATAATTAATTTTAAACGAACAATGGTGTGGTCGGGAAACATTTGGGTTTGCACTTCCCTTCCATTCATTGAGTCATTGCAGCTATTCAAATATACCGGCAAAATTCCTCATATTTTCTTTAATTTGCTGATTGTTGGAATTTTTCATCATACAGCTGTTTTGAATGAATATGTACTCTTTGTTTTCATGTTATCTATTTCAATTACTTAACTACTTGTTGTTAGAATGTATCACATGATAGAAAAATTAGGAATGTCTCATCCATTACTTTAGCGAAGTTATTTAAATAAAAATTGTATACCTACGTAAATGCATGTGTTTATATACTCCTATAATATAATTTATTTGAGGGAGTTTATGACTGGTGTATTCATCGCACTTTGCATCATATGGTGAAGCACAGCAGAAAGAACATTTGAAACGTTGCTTCAGTAGCAAGCATCAGCCATGTTGTATATACAATATACATACATATATAATGTATTACAAGAAGCAATACGCTTAGTGTACGAAAGGATTGTTAATTGTAGGGGAAAAAAACGCTTTCAGCAGAAATGTTTGGCTTGAATTAATATATGTATAGATTATAGATATCTGCTAGTGTTTGGGGTAACCAGCCTGCCTTTCTGTAAAACTGAGTGAAATCTTCCTGCACAATTTACATTTCAAGTTCTTAACCAATCATTATATATTTTAGTAAATGAGTAGGTATATTTTACAAAATCGATAAATTCCGTCCTCTTTGTAATTCTTATTTTCGTTAATATTTTTTACTTTCAGATTTCATAAAACACAGAATAAGAGTTTCTCAAATAAAAATATTAGTGCTAGTTCTTCATAAATTAAATTTTCGTAAAAAATTACTGCGAACTGACATCAGCTTTCGTAATAGTGAATGATACGTTTAACAATGAACAGTTTTCTTTTTTAGTTTATAAAATTATTTCATTGTAGCCTTCATTGACGGAGGAATAACTTTGTATTCTACATTAGGTAAATTATTAACCATTTCATTGATACAACCAAATTGCCAAAATACAAAATCTTGTTTTTTCGCATTTATCTGACCCATCTGTATTAAATTAATAACCGCTAACAAAAATTTGTATTCATTAAAAAAAAATCTCCTTTAGTAATATATGTATTCATGCGTAGAAGTACACCTTTCATTTCTTGGATTCTGATTAAGCACTGATGATGTTTTTTGTGCTTTTATCTTCAGAAACCAGTCTTTACTTGAGGGGAGATAAAAAATAAAATAAAATTAAAGCGAATGTAAATTATATGTAATAATATTAATTTTTCATAAAAATTAAGGCACCAAATAGGCTTCTAACTGCAATTCTATTTTTCGGTTCTTTAATAATACCTACTCGAAATTTCAATAAATTTTAAATTGTGAACAATGATAAAAAAATTCTTACTTCCTACAACTACAAAGCTTTTGATCTGAAATACATTTAATTGAAAATGTTGTTCAAAGTGAATTTTTATGGATATTTTGATTTCATTATTTTGTTACTCGTGGCGAGAAATAATCTCGAGAATAGCAGAAATGTTACAGATTCTTGTGTGTACATGTTAATAGTTTCTGCTTTCACCAATGCTTCCTAAAAATGCGTTCTACATTACAAATGAACAGTTAGTAATTTTCCTTAAAATAGTATTGTGTTTAATATGTGCAATGTACTGTTTACAACAATGCAGTGCTATCCATATCGCTATATAACTATTACACATTTTTTTTTATTCTTGAAAAAATTAAGCCGTTGGAGAAATATCTTCATCGGAAATTTTCACTTGGATTCTTTGTGTATTTCTCACTAGAGAATAATTACGGTGTGCAGCATATTTAATGAATGTATACTAACTTCTATTTTACTCTGCTTCACTGTTTAGCTTGATTGAGTTTACTTAAAAGTCTATCAAAACTGAGGACAACACCCGTTTGAAGGTACCATTTTACTGTTTTGTGAAGTTGTCTGCAATTAGTAGCTTGTTAATTGAACGATTATCTACGAATTATTGCATAAAGGTGTTTATCGTTACATTAATTATTGCATTTTATGTTGCGTTCAAAGTTAAACAAACCAGTTTTGTCATTTATTTTACGTGACTACAAGAACTTGTTGTTATTGCTTTACAATTATTTTGTGCTAATGGTTTGATAAATAATGTCTTGCAAAACAAAACAACATAATTTAGTCATTATTAATACTAAGCGGAAAATGGAAAAGTGGAGTCAAGATGAAACAAGATAATTTCATTA